GAATTACGGTCTATCATGACCGAAAAAAATCTATTTACCTACCTATGGAAACCACTGTACAACATAAACAGACAATACTTACCGACTGGTTTACTGACTACTGACTAAACTGAATGCAGCAAATCGGTTGACTGCTGTGCCATTTTCATTTCGGTTTCAGATGATGCTGAGACTGAGGCCACAGCTACAACTGTCGCTTCTGCAATTGAACAGAACCAGGGAGGCTGTACAACATATTCGACTTCTGTCAGAGATTTATGGCATTTGTAGAACACTTGGCACTAGTTTGCAATTTCTTTACCAATACCTTCCTTTCATCGTTGCTTGTTCTTCTTCTCTACTCGTTCGATTGCTGCCTGGCTCCGCCGTAGGGTGGTGCGATTGAGTGTTTGGTGGATTTGTTATGCTTCAGTTATTCCGTTGAGCTGGCGTTTCTTTGCGTGGCAGTGGCACCCAACTTAAAGGTGGCAACGTTCGTTATGTATGCGCACGTTTTACGTTTTCAAGTCAAGCTGAATTGACTGAAGACGACGGAGGAGATGGTGAAGATGAAGAAGAGCAAGGACGAACCACCAAAAACATTGGCTGGCACTATAGCCAGCCGCCAACAGCAATAATGAGCATCACCTCAACCGAAAAATTGTGAAGTGGCCCTCAAATATAGAAGGAACAACAACAACCACGACAGCATCCGTTATTTGGAGGTGTTCCATCTATGCCACCATGAAAATTGTCCACTTTTGAAATGTCACATGATACACTTTTCAAATGCATTGCCATGCCTCCTCTGGCCCTTTACAAGGCCAGCATGTGTAGTGTTCAGAATAAAGGTGTGTGTGTGTGTGAATGTGTGTGTTTGCTATATCAAATACCCATTGAAACGCATTGCATTCCAAAGTTCCATCATGAAATGTTGCAGCAACAAGAATAACTAACACTAGCAACAGCAACAACTACTATAAAAACATCTATGCCACAATCTAAGGTTTTTTATGGTGTCCGCCACTTGAACCGCACAAGTATCACCACTAGACACTCGAATATATTGTGTTGAAGGTGCACTCCATGCTGATAGCCAGGAACCTGGTTTGAATTCGATGCGAATAATGCATGCCACAATGGAGAGGCTAGCGAAGAATAGTGTGAGTGGGCGTGGGTGTGTGTTTGTGTCGATGTGTGTGCGTGAGAGGACAAACTTTAAATGGCCATAAGTTGTGTTTTTAAGGACATTTGGATGTCCTTTTTTTTCTAAATATGTTGGAATGTTGCAGAGGTTACTCAGAACGCAAGAGGTTGGGGAGGAGGAGAAGAAGAAGGTAGTGAAATGGAACGACTGCAAAAATATGCAGGTACAATTTATGCAACTGCAGGTGGAGATATAAGTTTTGCAACTTTAAATAACACATTTATTTTGTGGTATCAAGGATTTTTCTCTGGTCTTGTTTTAGGAAAAAATGTTCCTTTTTCTTTTTTGTTTCATTCGAAGGATAAAGGCAATTTTATAAATGCTGGAAATCCACGTATGACATTTACTTGGGGTGGAAGTATTTTCGAGACAGTTTCAAAATGTTTTCGTTATTGAAACATTAGCTGATCATTTAAAGCTCGAATATTTTCGTATCTTCCAAAAAGTGACATCTCTGGAATATTATAACCCCTTTTAAATAATTTGAATTATAATGCTCCATACGACACGTTTTCGAGATCACAAAGGTGACAAATGATGGAACTTTGCGTATGAATGCGGAACCAAACAATACATACAACAGCCTGCGGGGTTCGAAAATCAGCTGAATCAAATGAAAGTAGCGCATAAAAGAACAATTTCGAAGCAAATTGTCGCATCTTTATCGAAAAACTTTCTTGTTTGCCTAATATCTTCTGATAAATGTCAGAAACGGACAAGAGGCGGATAATCATTCATTGTCCACCATGATACACATCGGCACAGCACATTTCGGGTCGTCAAATACTCGGAATTGATGAATCATCTGTCATACAGCCCTTAACATGTGAAGAAAAACAACAACCACGTTTTCGAATAAACCAAGCTTGAGAATACATTAAAAGGCAATGAAACCATTTTTGACGATTTAAATTTTTAGACCAGACATATGTACAGCAGTCCTCGGATAATTGTCCACCAATTTTACTATTCAATATCATTTAATAAATGATTACTATTAAATGCAACAATTTGTCTCCATTAACCAATAAACCTAACGCAAATTGACGTTAAAAAAGATTATCAACCGTTTAAGTTTTTAGTAGCCATCATAAAAATTCTAAAACTTGAGGCGGCACATACTCCCGAACATTTCCACGAGATATCCTCTTAAATAAAAATTATTGTTAATTGTCCAAAGACAATCAGTCTCCTCTTCTAACATGGAATAAAATTCAGACGATTATAAATTATGACCTCATCAAATGACCAAATAAATGTCGACGAGCGAACAATCAGGATAAATGTTGGCCGAAAGATAGATGGCTTCAAAAAATAAAACAAAACGTTTTGCGCCATTGTTTGGGGCTTGCTCCTCTTTGCTTGCCAGGACAATTTGCCATTGATAATGACAGCTGCATAAATTCAGTTTTATGCCATTTACTTATGGGATCATAACAAAAGAGCCGACCACCACTCTATGATGATTTGATGAGACAGTGATGACCGAACCACAATGGACTGTTATAAACGCATAAAAAGTGCTCTCAAAATGACAAACAAAGAAGCGGGTTAAAATTATAGTACGAAGTGAGTTTTAAATACACTTTGAACAAATTTTAAATTGTTATTAAAATAAAAAAATATGTAATATGAATAAGTAATTTATTATTCCCATAAAAATACATTTTGTAGAAGATTTTAACTAAACCGTGCACCAGTATAAATATGACTTTAGTTTTTAAGTGTATATACCTTAACATATCCCCCAAAAACCTCCACTTGTGGATAAAAAGCGATTCAAAATATTGAAGTATCCTTTAAAACGATGGCTACAAAATAGTCAGTCTAAATAAAAAAATATATACATATACAAATAAATAAATGTTACCACTCTGGAAACTGAAAATGGCTGATGGATGTTGATGACTTGAGCAGTCATCAATTAATGTCGCCGATAGTGCCACCAACGACAGTCGTAGATACCAATTTTGAAAACACACAAAAGAATAAAAAATAATTGTACGCGTTTTTATATGGAGGACGGCAACTTTTTAGTATTTCCAAATATTTTCGATATTCTCATACAGACACACAAAAAGTGAGATGCTATGACATACAGTGCTATTCAAAAGGTAGATTCATCCGTTCAACTAAAAACTTCGCCATTCGGAAATCTCTTCTAGTTAGAAATATATGTAATAAAGTACCTGTTCTTTGTTCACCCATATATCTTGTGCATATTATCTCATTATATATATTGTAAGTATTTCTATTGTGTGTTGAATTAATCGCATTGATCTTAAAATATGGTAAATCTATTTTTTGAACATCACTGTATATCCGACCTGTCATATGTACCCATTGTAAAATGAAAACTTATTACGAAGCATTAGTCGATGTGGCCTACAGCGGTATACCCTCAAACTCTGAGACGGGTTAATTACTTGGTGCCTAAAATCAATATTTCAATAAGGCAACCTCTGCAAAGAGTAAAACTTAAAAGGAATGCCTCCAACAAGATGTGTTATATTGTTTGTCATTGGAGAATTTCGTACATTTCTGATAGATAGTGATATCTAAATAATATTTGAGTCCAAAATAAAATCATAAATCAATAAACTAATTTAAAATTAGAACTACGAAAATGTGGATAAAATCTCAAAAATAATTAACGATTTTGCTAATAGCTATTTTGACTGAGATGATTCTCCGAATAATATTTCAAACTGTTACATACAGAATGACAAACATAACATAATCACCCTGCTATGGTAGCGAATATCAAAAAATGTAAATACAAATAATAAAATATGAAAATGTCAGCACAATTGTTGTTAAAATTAAATGTACCACACCAGGACGAAGCACCACCATCCACCAACAACTATCAATAAAAAAATAAATACAAATTGTAATGGATGTGTATGTGGGCACTACGAAAAATTTGTTTGTTATTTGGTAGATTGTTGTAAACACAAAAATAACAACAACAAAAATCCGTAATCACTTTACAAAATTGGTAAGAGAAGGATAACTGCGTTTTTTTTTTTCTTTTATTAAACATAATGTCGTCGCCCACCTTTATAGTGGAAATTTCCAATTATCACCAACGGAAATAACAATTGACCAATAATCGATAAACCAATTACGAAATGGATTTTATTTTTCTGGAACAGTAATAAAGACAAAACATAAAATTATATGTCATCAAGAAACAAAGAGATATTTATTTTTTAAATAAATCAATAGATTGCTGTTTTTATTGTGACTTTGGTTGGGTTATGCATTTTTATTCTCAATATTTTACTTAACCCAGATAACAGCAGAGTTTTTTTTAATCAAAATAGCAAATTTAATATTAAAACTTAAATATTTTATTAATAAATGACTATTCTCGGGTAAAATGTAGTTTTAGCTTGAAGCTAGGAGAGTTTAGAACAAGATACAAAAATAAAATAATAAAAATGTTGGTTTTTAGAAGAGGTATTTTTATTTTTCGTGTTCTTCTAAAAGGACGGGCCAAATTGTACGAAAAAATAAATTTTTGAGGATTAATATATTCTAACAAATATAGATAATATAAAATCCTTTGTAAAAATATATATTTAAAAAATCATACATATCTTGTAATAAATACAAACAATATATTTATTTTCCTATTAAAATACTTACGTTTCATACAATTAAAAAATAAAAGTTGTAATTTTTACAAAAATATACGAATTTTTATTTATCAAAGTAATACTTAAACGATTATATCGGATGGAACATTTAAATTTTCAATAAAAAGTATATTAAGTAAGCTATAAAAAAACTAAATTATCCAAATAAAATATTACGAAAATGTTTTTGTACGACAAATATCCACATCAGTTTGCAGACAATTACGATAATCGTAATCACACAAACCCAATGTATACTGTGGATTAGTGGGCTTAAAGAAATGTAAACCACGACCAATTTTTATAATATAACCATTACTTAAACTGAAATGTTGAATTAAAATTGTGAAAATTAATAACAATGGAATTGTGAACAAAAAAATGTTTAACTTACATAATTTTACGATCATGTAATGTTGCTTCGAATTTTATGGACAATGTTATGCCCCTCTGAGTTAAGTCATCTTTGATATTTTTCATCATTGAATTTTGTCCAGCGGGATTTTTTGGGTCGGGTTTTGTTACCACTCTTACATATTTCAAATTTTTGCATTGTTTTACCGCTAACTCCAATAAAACAATAAAGTTTTGAAACTAAAAATATAATAAAAAGAAATGGATGATATCATTAATATTATATCCGTACGTTATGTCCTTATCGGTACCAAATAAGGTGCCATTGGTCAAATCTATCTAGTTTAACAAGAAAATTCAATTAAAACGGTCTTCACATTTATATCGATAATAAACCCCTTTTCAATTTGGATAGATATTAACATTTTTAATAAAGTTCAATTGGATTCGACTGAACTACTCAATATATCAACAATTCGATCGGAATATATGACCACAAACAAACCATATTAAAAACAGTGGGATTTAATATTCTATATGAACCGATTTACACTTGACCTACTCCATTCTTTAAAAACAGTGCTTACTCGCCTAGATTAAACAAGCCGGTCTCGAGACATTTTTAAATAGCCATGCAGTATATCTGAAATATTTCCGAATATTTTCTGATATAACCTTCAATGTAAAGAAATTAAATCACAGATATCCCCCTCGTGACCCAATCAACTTCGTCAGGTGGACTAAGGCTAACATCCCAATAAATTTGTAGTGGTAATTTACTTTTTATTAAAAAAAACAAGTAATTAAATATATTAATCGTGATATTTTTTCACTAAATTTTGATAAATATGAATTAAATATATGCACAGTCCGGATTTATGCGGTTTATAGAATATGAAATGAGTTGTGAAACGCAGTCAGGATAATCCGTATTGCCGAGGTCCGGATTATTGAGATTTTACTGCACCTTTTTTCTCGCACAACAAGAAAAAAAACATGATCAATATTTTTTGTTATCAGAAGATGATTCAGAATTTCATATATTAAGAATTTCTCATTTAAAATATGGAATACTTGGACTTCTTTATAAAGAGACAGAGAAAACGATGGTATAATTTAACTTTTTAATATTTTAATTTGGATTTGATATGGGACAATTTAAAGCTATCTGAGAAAGAATGACAAAACAAAGAAAATATTTAAACGTATGATTAGATTATGTACTTCATGTCACTATAGTTAAGGTTTCTAGATCATAAATTTTAATAACGAAAATAAAGTTTTGGGATCGAATTGTAATTTATAAGTGTCTATTATGTCCACAATCCAAAATTAGATCTTGATTCTAGAATCAATATTTAGTTGTGTTACAAACTCTTGGGGCTACACGAAAGGGTATTATAACCTCACAAAATATCTGGGTATAGTAATTTTTAAAACTGGACGATTTTTCAATAACTTTTGTCTATATAAAAATTTTTCATCCAAAATATCCCGATTGCATAAATGAAGTATTCAAAATAATTGAAACTTAAAATAAAACAACAAGGAAATTCATTATGTAAGATTTTTAAAATAAATTTTGTTTCACACTCACTTGATATCTCTCCGTAAAATATGGCTCGTCAATTAGGATTTCCTTTACCGCACCATTTAGGTATTTCCCAAATAGGCTTTTGTAACTGTGACCTGTTGAGTTGTCATCGATGGGAATGTTGGCAACAATTTCACCGCTTTCCATATGTTTTTGAACACGCAATTTTATTTGTTCGGCCCGGTCGATGTATTCTTTAATGCGTTCCAGGTAGACTTTCTTTTTGGCGGTGTCTTTCTCATCTAACGAGGATATAAGAAGAGACACAGACGGGGTCTAATAACATTTCAGCCACAAAATGGAAATTATTTAACCTACCACCGACCAATTCCATAAGAATTTGTATACCATCTTGGTAGAGATCTTGAGCTTCCAATATGCGACCATCCTTGTCGCATTGGACAGCTTTCATTAAAATGTCTTTGGCGTTCATAACTACCGCGTCAATTTTGTTGTTTTCAATACTTTTTGGCCTAGTCAACAAAAATTGCAGCCAAATGTTAAACGAACAACGACAACAATGCGAACAACAAATAAACAATCTTGCCCACTTCTTGTTTTGTCAGCACAAACTGAACAACAAACACACTTTGCCAAATAGCCACCAAACACCAAATATTATAACAATAATTTTCGATATTTTTTCCTTATGGGGGGATTTTTATGCGATAATTCGGTAATTTTTTATTGTTTCGGTAATTTCTTAAATTTATTCACTTCATTCTTTCCTTTCTTTGTTTTGCTTGTTGGACAATAACAACATAAAATGACATTTGCCAGACGGCTGTCAAATGTACGTTGAATGAAGAGAGATGAACGCATCGTATTTGAGTGGGTAAAGTGGCCCACACACGTCAAACATGTGCGTTCGATCGGTGTGAAGCTCCTAGCCCACACACGTCAAACGGATCCACAAAACTTCATTTATTATTAATTTTTGAAGCGTTAAGATGGACAGCGATAGTGATGACGGAAAAAAGACCAAATATTTTTATTAAATATATATGTATTAAATATTTGTATTTTATTCCAGAAAAACATTTTTATTTTCCACACAGTAGAATATGTATAAAAAAACATCAAAAAAATTTCCAAAACGTTTTATTTCATATGTTTGACATTGTCCGCTGACCCGCACTCCACGAAATTTCGCAACAAATGAGAAAATTTCCACACACCAGGCCACAGACGTCAAACATGTGCGCGTCGCACAACGAAAAATTAAAAATTTTTAATTTCTTTCGATCGGTGTGCGCACCGGCAAATCGGTGTGAACACCGTACCACACACGTCAAACATTGCTTCGATTCACACCGATCGAACGCACATGTTTGACGTGTGTGGGCCACTTAAGAGAATACCCAGAGAGCAGAGACAAACAAGAGAGACCGTATTGCTGGTCGATGCAGGGTTGTTTAACTGAGTCACGTCAAATATACACACAGAGAAATTATAGTAACAGATGATGGATGGAATTTGTAAATATTAACTTATTTGTTTTAATTATTCTGGTTTTCCGATATTTGGATTGGAACAAACTAAAAATATCAACTCAAAATTTAAAAACTGAAGACAATTTGCGTTATTTCACAAAGTTAATATATAATTAAAGTATCGAACAAACAATTTCAGATTTATGTTCGTTGGAAGGGTGATATTTCGTAATAAAATTATTTTGCTGTTTTTTGTTTTGTGCATTCAGTTCTGAGTTACAGAGTATTAATAATGGAAGTGAACAGAAAGCAAATTCGGTACATTTTAAGTTTTTCTTTGACAAAGGCGAAAATACAAGCCAAGCGGCTAAACTTGTGAATGGTGTTTCTGATTCTGATACTGTAACAGCCAATTATGTGCAATTTTGTTTCGTAGATTCCGTTCAGTAATTTTTGATGCTAAATGTGCTAGGCCGTGGAAAATATAGATAAAATCGAAAAAACTTCGGGAGCTTGGTTGGGAAATTTTAATGCATCTGCATACAGTCCGGACTTGACACCAATCGATTATCAACTTTTTCTTTCTTTGCAAAATTTCTTCAATCATAAAAAATTGGTATCTAGGGAGGATTGTGAAAATCGACTACTAGAGTTGTTTGCAAAAAGAAGGCATTATGAAGTTGCCTTTAAAATGACAACAAACCATACAACAAAACGTTGCATATTTGGGCCAAATCGGACATTTCGAAGCATGCTAAATTAAGTCCTATAGTTCATATATTAAAATAATGGATTTCTATTTCCCAACCTAATGTTTGTGTGAAAACCTTAAATTGGCAGTTGTTGTGTCTTGTATGTAAGGCCTGTTGTGTTATTTTTTAGTAATTAATAATATCGGGATTATTACAAAATTATTAAAAAGTACACCAAAATTGAGATTTTGTTTACCGTGTCCTGTGTAAATGTCTGCATTTGATCTATTCTCCTAATTAGGAACATGATCTGAACGTTGATATTATATAGCATACTTTTAGGCGTAGTAAAAAAATGAATGCAAAATTTGTGTTTATCGGAGATTATCGCTTATGAAGTAAAAATATGTCTAAATGTCAATACAAATTGATAAAAGCTATAAAAACCCGTGATAATATAGAATGATAAAAATACATGTAATCATAAGTTTTGTTCTAGAACCTAAATGAATCTACTATTTTTACAAGTTTTGCAACATTTTACTCGAAAACCGTTCCTGAACCCACAAAAATGGTAAAACATTAAACATAGTTGGGCAGACTTGCACACCAACCATATTAATTAAATTCCGCTGAATAATCCATGTTAATACCTTAACAATTTTTAAGTGAAATTTTGTCCATCATTGATGACATTGAACCAAATTTAAGAGAACCCAAAAACAAAATGGCGTTTCTCTTTGTAAACTTTTTACTCGAAAAATTTGTCCGAGTAAAAATATTAAACAGGAATGCCAACTTCTTATTGGCTGTTATGTTGATTTTAAAGTATTGTCATTTAATTTGGCATATTTTGTAGGTTTTGGGTTCCCGAACTTTTCAAATTATTTTGTACTCTGAGAGCGATTTTTAAATGTATCCCTTTACTAGGTTTACTATTATAAAAGTACTGGAACAGACAAATAATGTTTACTTATTTTTTTAACAGTTGGGTTAATTTTTAATTTTACTGCGTCATATTCCAAAAATCCAAAACTTTATAATTTGAACATAATTACTGAAACGCGACAAAATTCATTACACTAGTTCGCAGAATTAACATATTTTCAAATACAACCACGTTTCAAAAAAGATGAGTTATGATCTGATGTGAACGTATAGTTTTTAAAGATTTAGAAAAAATATACATTCGGTCCGTGGGTATCTGTGGTGTCAGTAACCCTATATTGCATTCGCTGTATCTCATATGTAAATACTATCAAAAATTAGCCTTATTTTTTACGCTGCCAAAAAACGGCGCATATTTTCAGTAAAACCACTCTATTTCCTTTTCCGGTGCTTGAAATTATATGCTCATATCAAAACGAACAAACACATCCAAATATATACCATAAAATATTTGGTCTGCACAAAGGCCTGCCTCTATACAAAGATTCGCAATTTAATTTTCATTTGGAATGGTGCTGCTGTTGGCTATGGCGACAGTATCAACCGACCCGAACGCAGCGCCAAACTAAGTTACCCACTATTGCGTCCTGTTTACCTTTTTCATGGTTTAGAGTTATGGTCGTTATTTTACCGGTTGTCATTTTGTTTTCGGCTTGTTTTAAATAATTTCTATTTCCAAGGAAGACATAACACCGGTACACGTTCGGGAGATTAATTCATTCATTCAGACCGGATGACATGTTTCGTTCGCAGAATCCAATAACTGTTTTTTTTGCTCGTACATAAATGTGTATGTGAGTGTGTGGCGCGGCCATATTATTGTGGGTCGGGTCAGTTCGGAAAGGTAGACAGTTTATGGTTAGGTTTGGACAATTTATGGTATGTTATTTGTAATACAAGTTTGCAAGGGAAGAAAATGTGGATCACACCGACTGACCACTGCTTGCTTCAATTGATATAACAAAAGAAAGACTTTCTCCCTATACTTGCTGGTGGAGAACAGTCGTTTGAAAGTTACATATACTGGAACATTATAAAACTGTAAGGACTATTTATAATTTTAGTAAAATATTAGTAAAGTAGAAAATATCTGATTAAAAGAGAAATTAAAGAAAATATTAAATTAAATACAGAAGCTAAAAAATTATTGTCTCTTTATAGGACACATCGCTAATTTGCTGCATGGACGGCAAAAGTCAAAAATCGTGAGTTTAGAGTTAATGATGCAGAATTGTTCGCTATATCGGATTTCATGTTGTGTAAAAAATTCAAATTACTATAGTTTACACACTTTGATCGAGAAGCTGCAGAAGTTCGTTTGCTCTATGAAAGGAGGTAGGCAAATGAAAACTTAAAATCCGTCTTCCGCAAAGTCAAATATTTTTATCTAATATTCGTCTATTCTTCTTAAAATCTCTGACATCAGACATTTTATATCGTGCACATTTTTTACGAAGGATGATATATTTATATAGGTAGTTTTGTATTTAGTTATCATATGCAGACTGCTATATCCCCCTCTTCTTCACCACCCCTACTGACAAACGGAAATTGTTAAATTTGCGTCGCGTCCTTTTCACTTAGCTGAGCCAAACGTTATAGCTAGTCAGTCAGCCAAAAAAAAAGGACCAAAAAGGATGTTCATGAATGGGCGTTGTTGCAGTTGTTGTACGACCATGTCCAACAAGCAAACAATTTAAAACAGTTATTTACAAAAATTATAAAAACCAACAACAGAATTTTGGTTGTGGCCATTTTATCATGACCAGGAAAAAAATTAGAAGGACATCATTTACATATGGGATGATGCGTGAATATTTAAACAACATAACTGTGTCGTTGTAGTATTCTTACGCAACTTAGCTGTGAATTTAGTTTAGAGGCGAGTATACCATTTAATATAGAGATCGACAACTGTTGGGAACCATTTCACCATAAGGACATAATGCAACGTGCCATAACTCAAAACCTTGGACTATAGAGAACTTGTCCTAGTGGGTTGTTAAAATACTCATCATGTACCCTCACCAATTCTCACACTTTGGTGATCATTGTAATTAATTTATTGAATTTCTGAGATGCAATGTACCATTTATTAAATGTCGATATGCATGAGAAGAACAATGAATAAGGTTTCTTTATAAAAAAAAAAAAAAATAATAATAATAAAAACTATTGTTAGGCAGTGGCGTTGCTCCGTTTGAACAAAAGTTTTGTTAGATAGTTTCTGTTTCTTTCAATTATTAACTCTTCAATTATTACTCAACAATTACTTTATAACAATAAATAATTTCTCTATCGTTTCAGCCTACCCCAAAAAATTGGATTCATTTTCAAGGTAAGCAAAATCTCATATATATTTAAATTCTAGAACACTTAG